ATTTGTAAATTCTGAACGCTGATTGGCTAAGAGCCGTGTTGATATAACTCAATGTCAACACACGGAAACGTCGGAAAATTTCTTTCTTTATATTTCTTTGTGCTATATTATAAAACAAATATAAAACATTTTTTCCGTATTGATATATAGTTATATCAACACGGAAAATGTTTTATATTTGTTAAATATTAAACGCATCTGATTGGTTGACAGTTCCTTACTGGTAGTGGTAGTGGAAGTCGAACCTGAACCTCTCTAATCGATCAAGGATAGCAGCGCAGCGGAAAGAGCCTGGGAACGACGATCACGTTTGAGATATATTTTTCAGGTAGTTCAGACTCGAACCACAGCAGCTTATTGTAGAGTACTACCCACACACGGGACCTCCACGTTTAAGATATCTTTCTTTGGTAGTTCAGACACAAACTACGGCAGCTTCTTTACTAAAGTTTAACTGTGATGCTATTTTTACTAGGTATCCAAGGCATAGTCCAAGCCTATCAATCCTGTCTACCTAATATCACGCTGTATGGTCCGACCAATGTCTCGCCCGTAGTTAATCATGTGTCCTCGTTTGCTAGACAAGCTGTATGTGCTGAAGTACGTCCTATTTCTGAACAGGTCATTCTGAGTTTGCGATATTTTCACAATGTTTAGTAGCGTCAATATCACATAGTGGGGCAGTGGTTGGTGCCTTTTGCCTCTATGACTTAGGTTCGATTATTGCAGTATGCAGTGGTTTGACTATAATCTGGTCTCAGTCGCATGTGAGATGAATGCTCTCAGTTTGACAGCATCAAACACCACATGTTTTCTCCGTGTACTTCGGTAGCAACCCGTGATCGATAGAGAACATCCTCGTACCGAGGGCACAGGGTACTTACATACAGAGGTCTCACTTCAGGTTAATTTAGCGTAATGGATTTTTTCAGTCCTCCATGCGATTCTTAGCAAGTGCCCTAAAGAAAGGCCGTCACCCCCCATATTGAAATTTAATGTTCCAGGAGGGTGAATGCCTCCCTTTCGAGCACTTGCTAAGAACATGGCCTACAGCTATTTTGGTAAAAACTACCTTACGGTTTTCCCGCAGAAGTGAGACCTCTGTATGTAAGTACTCTGTGCCCAGTGTCTTGGCACCAGAGTGTGAGAGAAAATAGCCTGGGCTGGATAAAGGATAGCCCTGAGTGCATGGTTTAGGAACTACTGTTTGGCAACACAGGACCAAGAACAACTGGACCTTTACGGTGAACAGTTCCGAACTGATGAGGCTATCCAGTACACCTAGACCAATAGAGGATGAGCCTTGTTGGACCAGCTATCCAGTGTTACAGAAATTGGAACTAAACAACAACAATTGTGTTATAGAGCTACCATATACTCCTCATTCTAACTGATGGTGTGATATCAGACATGGACCAGACCAAAGCAGCCATTGTTGAAGCATCAGCACTACCAATGTCAATCATTATAGTGGGTGTTGGTGCTGCTGATTTTGATATGATGGAGGAACTCGACTCCGACGACAAACTGTATGTAACTTATTTACTCAACGCCTTATAGACCTCGTCAGCTTCATAAGAAAGTTTCAACCGTGGGATTCAGCATCGGCTGCGGTGTATCCAAATACTGTGGCTATGAAGGTTTCCGGCATACTTCATAGCCACGGTTTTATAGCATTTGATTAGTGAGACACGTTTGGGAGTAAGGCTGCTGTAGTTTCGTGAATGATACCTTGCAGTTGTGTATATAGTACACTGGTTTATGGAATACATCCGTGAATATACAGTATAGCAGTTTTCCATACACTTTGTTACTGTGACTTTCAAAAACTCAATAATTCAGGAGGAAAACACAAAGAAAAATCATAAGCTTGTCGTGGTTTTATATGTGATAAAAAATCATGTTAATTTACATAAACTTTAGCTTTGATTTTTTCAGTTTAGACAAAGTTTATTTTAAAAATTACTTCGCCAATGAACTCGTATAAGATGAGTCGTTTTTGAAGCCATTTAAAGCACTTGTAGTCGTGTTTTATCACATATAAAACACTCCGCTACGCGTCGTGTTTTATATGTGATAAAACACTCCTACGCGTGCTTTAAATAGTACATAAAGTATGGTTGATAGGTTTTTTATTAGAGAGGCATATTTGGGATACTGCAGACGTGTCGGAGGGCACCTTAGATTTCCTCCTTTCTTCGATTATTCTTAGATTCGTGCATTCTTTTAGATTAACGTCGACAAGTGGCAAGACAGCTCAAAGAGATATTGTACAATTTGTTCCATTTAGAAATTTTCAACACGTGAGTACGGGTCCAGTCCTCTGTGAGACGAACACTAAGCCTTACTATAATACTATGTGTTGTGCATGTAATAATGTAATATGTATATAGCTCAGTGGAGAAGAGTGGTTCAAGTTTGACTGCAACAAACACTGCACGTTTTCGTCAAGTTCTCGGGTCTCCCCCTGTTGTAACACTTGAGCAAAAACGGATGATTCTTACTGGACCTCAAGGGAGAATAGTTTAAGAATTGGAAATGGGGAAAGGAGGTGAAATTATAATAAGAACTGCATAGTCTCACATACCGTACCGTTGTACCACCCAGCCTAGACCTAGGCCAATCTCGTACCCAGAGTATGCCCGTTTGCAGGTTGGGTGAACGGGCATACTCTGGGTACGAGATTGAGACCTAGACCTTCTATTTGTCAGCGCTTTTTCACATGAGAAGACTGGGACCCAGGCACTTTTGCTTGCTTTCATTTCGCATGTGACATCATAGCCCAAAATTGACCAAACCTGCCAAAGCCAGCCGAGTAAAGGCCTAGGTCTAGACTGTGTAGCACCAACATTCTTGAAACCTTGTGGGTATGCAGATTCTCACAAGTTTTTTTGTCCCATCTAGTCCTCGCCAGCTGCATTAGCAAAGTGTGTTTTGGCGGAAATTCCCGAGCAAGTCACTGGGTACTACGGATCAAGAAAGATATCTCCAGTACAGAGGTGACATGTAGGGAATAAAAACCCTCCCGGAGAAATGCCCCTCAGGTATGGCATGCACTGCAACTGTATTATAGGGATATATTTGATAGTTAGGGATATTTATAATTGAAAACCTAGGGTAAAACTGGGGCATAGACATACACACAGGGACCTTTACTCAACAGTATACAAGTGTATTTTACAAAAAGTGTAGTTGGTTGGTAATATTTTTTAATATTTTAGTGCAGTTAAGTTCGTACATTGTTTATCAATAATAGATTCATAATTTCAATGATTAAATAATTAAAATATATTTACATATATATTCCCCCATTTCTTAGAATTAAAACCAGTTGCGTGCGTATTCCATTATTAAACACAATCCCGTGTGGTTGTAACGTAATATAGTTGAACAGTGATGTATGCAATAGTCTCCCCCCTTGACAATTAAAATCTTCTACGTTAGACATTTATTTATTTATTTATTTATATGTGAAAAAAACATCTATATAAAAGTGATTTTCATCGTTTTTCGTGAATCAGCGAAATATTATTGCGCAGCCCCTGCAAAGTGTATATCCTCTTACTTCGCTTTCATATAAATATTTACATGTCAGGAAACCGTTCTTGGGCTATCCTGCACGGAAAACTGTTTTATAAAATAACTACAGTGAAACAACGGTCAACTTTATTAAAATTATTGATGAAATGTGCAATTCTCACAACAACCGTGAACTAACCAATCGGAGACAGACTTTGTTTAATATACCACGGTTAACACTTTTTTCCATCCAGCAAACCGCCCTATCGATTTTCTAAAGTCGTTGTTTTTTTGTCATTTTTTTATTAATTCGGTTAAGGTTAGGGTTAGGGTTGCGGTTAGGGGTTAGAGTAGGGTTTGGGTTAGTTACTTAGCCATTTAACACCTCTTCTATCTTCCGAAAATGACGTCGGGTCAAAATTGAAACGCAAACGCTGAATGGAAAATAGTGCTAACCATATACTACAAGTTAAAATGTTTTCATTGTCCGACATTTTAAAAAGCCCACGCGAAGGCATTCAAATTTTCCGTGCAGGACTGTCGTGTACGGGTATTGACCAATCAAATTGGATCCTCCACAGGTATTGACCAATCAAATTGCGTGTTTCACTATAGTTATAATATAAAATGGTTTCCTTCACTGCAGCGAATGCTGGCCGCTTGCCCTAGGTCGAAATCTCCTCAACTTTTTGACAAATCTCTTTGACCTTTTCATTGAATGCATCAGGTCTATCTGCGAAGACATGATGCCCTGCATTCTTGATGCTGCATATTTCAAACTGTTCTGGTCTTCTGGTTAGGATATCATTTGATATGCTGTCGTCTATCCGAGTTCTTGAGCCGAACAGCATGAACACTTTTACGTCGGGGGTTAAATCTTCAATACGATGCATCATGGGAAATCTTGGCCATAAGTACGGAATTGTCAACCGTTTAAAACCAGTTTCACCACTGCAATAAAGTGTCGAAAACGTCAAAGAGAGAAAGTAAATTAAAGGATACGGCAATATAAATTAACTTTGTCTTATTTGAAAGAACATTTAAAATGATATATAAACTTCCTTTACAATTATTCCGTATCTTGTTTGGTTTTCGAAATAAATCGACTTATTTTGATCAAAAGCAGCGTGCATTCCGCCATCTTGGATATGCATTCGATATGCATACGTCACAAGCATAGGATATAGGAGATTATATCTATGGTCACAAGTAGGGTAAAAAACGAAATTTTTATCTTGCAAACTAGATGTCATTATCAACATGAAACTCGATTTTCCGAAGTCTTTTCAGTACTCAATTAACTCAACATTTTAAGACGAAAGTTATAACAATTTTCGAGGAAATTTAATCCCACATGAACAAGTTTTAACCATATAGAAGTTTACCCTGCTTGTGACGTCATCAAAAACTCAGTTAATTAGGTCAAGTTAATATAACACCAAGTGAAAATTCCCCCCGCCCCCATCAGGCATCACTCTTCTAATGCCCCGCCCCTAAATGACAGACAAAGATGAAGGACATATTCTCGGAAATCGCTAATACAACGTCTGTGTGAAAAATTGGAAATGTTCCAAGGCAAATGTTCTCCGGGATTCCGACATCCCCACTTCTTCAGGTCCGAGAATAAATATGATATTTGGGAACCGTAAGCGTCTGATAAATAGAAGTGAACAGTCGAACAGGTATGTAATTACGAATTTATAGTTCAGCATTTTATACAAGTGGCCTCAGACTACTTGCTTTATTTTATAATAACGTCCAGGAAGGGCTTTTATTTAATAAGATTAGCAAGAAACCGATCATCATGCTATGAACAAAGTAAGCGAACAAATTAGGGCACATTACTTGATTGGTTTAAAGGAACAAAATAAAGCAGAGATAGACAATACCTCGGTGTCTGTGCATTACAATGATATAGATAATTTGGAATGGTGTCATCACTAAAAACACTTGTGTACTTTTTCTCCAAATCTGGACGAGTTGTTCGGAGGAATACAGGTCCTACAAGATCAGAAAGACAGATAATTAAATGAACAGAGGTTGAAATAGTTTGAAAATACTGTACCAAGCTATCCTAAATCTTGCGAAGTGACTAGGCTGCCAGTTTAGTAAACTGCCGTTCATTTAACAGCTGACATTTATTTACTAATATAAAACCTTTTTTGCGATAGTATTCAGCGAGCTTGCTGGCAGAGTATTTTTTAAAGGCGTTGCGTGCGTAGTGAAACGTGGTCCGGATCCAATGTGGCTGACTATTTTTTGTTGGGGTTGGGATCAGTTTATTTCATAAATATTCAACTTTAACTATAGTCACTACTACCGGTACGGCAGTTCACTAAATTGCCGGCTATCTAGTCACTTCGTAAATCTTGTTTCTGGCATGTTTGTGAATATTTGTGGAAAGCTTAACATTGGCAAAGAGCCAAGAGGGCTTAATTAAGGGAAGCTTGAAATGCAACAAAGTGCTTTTGTTGTACAAAGAGAGGGGGAAGGGTTAAATAGAGAGGGGGCATAAATTTCTTTCCCTAAAATGGAGTGGGGTCTTATAACAAACATACTTGCAAAGAGGTTCATCCAGGATTGGTGGGCCTGGTAGCTCCCCAAACCTACTAAGCAAAGCAAAGTGCATTCGAAAAAGCACACCTGCTCAGAACCAATTGGATACCCACTTTTAAGACCAGTATGAGATAATATGTTAAGCAGCTACCAGGTGTGTAGTATTATGAAAGTCACAGAACTGTGGAATCGCATCAAAAATTTGTATATCGACCACTCCCACAAACGTCTACGACCATGCCTACATAGTTTTGCATGTTTACAATTCTAATTTTGAACAGCCAATCAGGTTCTTGGTAACAATTACAATTAAACGTCGATTGGCTGTTTAAAATTAGAATTGTAAACATGCAAAAATATGTAGGCGCAGTCGTAGACGTTTGTGGGAGTGGTCGATATACAAATTTTTTATGTGATTCCACAGTTCGGTGACTTTCGTAATAATAGGAAATGAAAACATGTATGATGGAAAGAAAAATCGAACATGGGTTTAAGTTGACAAAAGCTATGAACACATTGTTTACCAAGTGGGCCAACAAATCGTAGAGCAGCGTAAGGATTGAAAGGACTCAACATGGCCGCCATCATTTTTATCCACTTTGGCACATGCTCGTTTTGTTCCCAATCTTGCGTTTTCTCTGTAATTCCCCAGGGATCTACCAAAATCAATGACTTTACATGTTCGGGGTGTTTGATTGCATAAGCATATGCCAAATATCCACCAAAACTATGCCCAATTAAAATACATTTCTCAAGACCCAGTTCCTTTATTGTATCTTCAATTGAATTAACAAATGTTTCTTCAACAGTCTGTGGGTCCTCGTCAAAATTGGATCTCGAGCTGCGGCCGAATCCCAACAGGTCAAATGTATATACTGGTCTGTTCTTGGCAAGTTCTTTAATGTTCATGACCCAGATTCCGAGACCAGCACCAAGCCCATGGATCATCAATACAGGGGTTTTTGTTCCACTTTTGTTGAACACTACCGTCCAGATCTGATCTTGCTGTGATGTTGTGATGAATCGTCCTTCATAGGTGATGTCTAAGCCTTAGGGAACATACAAAACGAGAGTTGTTAACAAGTCTTATTTTGCAAGTCAAATCACAAGTCATTTGATCTGAGTCCCAGTCAAGTCATAAGTCATTCACTCTAAATAGTAAGTCAAGTTGCAAGCCATGCTGTACTGTTCTTTTTACCATAAACTGCCGGGGAGTCACCCATGACAATTGTATGTATACATCAATATACTAACCAGGGCCATTGCGAAGATGCTAAGGTTGGAGGGAGGGGTGTAGTGTCATATTTGCTGACAACATTTCAGTCACTAAGTGATAAATTTCCAGTGAAAATTGTAGAAATTTAAAGTTAATTTTCACCAGATATTTACGACTTTATGTAACAAGTCATTTCTGTCAAGTCATTTTGTTCGAGTCCAAGTAAAGTCACATGTCGTTAATCTGATTGTCAAGTCACATGTCATTAATCTGATTACATGTCACAAAAGTTGCAACTCAATATGTCTGATTCAAGTAACATGACTTGAGTCTACAACTCTATACATTACTCATTTAGCTTGGAATATGCCCTAATGTGCCTTTTTTGATAATACCAAGTGATTTTAAACTGCAATGCACCTACTTTATTTTTCTGATGCCAGATAATTTAATTTGCTCTTCAAGTGAAGAGCTTTGTGCACTACAGTGTCTACAGTCAATTTGACAAAACATTCCAAAGGTTGTTCCAAAGTTCGCAAATGGCGTTGCGAAGTTCCAAAGTTTATAATAATATTCACAAAACTGGTTTGTAAACTAAGCATTTGATTGGCTCTTTTCGATTCATGGACCAATTATAATAGAGGCCTAATTGTTTACAAACCAGCTTGTGATTTTCAATATGAACTTTTGAACTTGAATATTTTGGCAAACGTTTTGTGAAATTAGCCTTTCTCATACTGCCATTTTTGGGTGGCTTTTCAGCCGAAGTCTGCGGGATAAATCAACATAACAGTGACTTTTTATAATTTTTTGACAAATAATGGTAAATTTGCTTTGAAAAATGGCTTTTCACATTGTGTTAATTGTCTGCATTGGTTAACAAGAATTAGATGCCACCCAAACATGGTGGATACCGGTATATGTCATCGTGAGAAAGGCTATAAATTCACTGTAATTGGTTATTGCTATTGCCAAATGGCAATGCCTCCAATTAAGTTGCAATGTATCCCACTTTATTCATTTATTCTGTCTAATGCCAGATGAATTTACTCATGAAGAGCCTTGTGATTTAAATTTGCTTTGTGACTACTCCTCTGACACTCCCCCAGGCATGGATGATATAAACAATGTCTGTGAATGGATTATAGGAAACTACGCGACGTTTTCTATGCCATCAAACCATGTAAAAATAAATGTAAATCGCAAGGATAATACATGATACTTGCAATAGGGCCGAGTTCAAGGCGACATACAGCTTAAAATGACAATATTTAGCCCGTGGCATCGGTAAATCGGTAATCAGGTTATAAACCGCGATACCACATGTGACAAAATCTGAAATGCACGCAACAACGTATTCATATCATAGACCCAAAATTAAGCTGATTTTTATATTTATTGAATTGAAACCATATTTAAAGAAAAACTGTTTCAAAAACAAAATGGTAGAATCGTCAAAAATCAAAACGCCGGTAAATAATTGCTTGAAATCTGAAACGAAAACTTACTGTTCAGTATTCGGGCCTCAGCATCTGCGAGAAGCGTTTCTGAGGTTGGACACCATTTTAGCCAATTCCACAGCCAGCTTTGAGATGAATACATCAGAAAAAAATAAGTTAGAAAAAGAAAAAAGAACAAAAGGGTACAGGTTTTGGGAAATAGCATCGATTTCACGTGCTAAGGTGTGAAAGATAAGGGCAGACACTCTATTACATTCGACTTTGTCTCACCTGTTTTCGGCGGGATTTTCAGCGATTTCGCCCATAATAGAAACTCAGATCTCTACACAAGACAAAACTAGAAATTTATAGTCATTTTCTAGTGGTTTTACGCTTAAAATACATATTTGCAACGTAAAAGCCTTGGCCAACCTTGACCCCGCTGAAAAAATACGTGCGTAAATATTTGTAGACAGTGTTTACATTCTTTGCTTTCGTCACTCGTAGTTATCAAAACAGTGTTTCCATTACAGTGAATTATAAATTTCGTTATTGTTGACGAATTTAGATTCCTAGAAGTTTGCTATGATTGTATTTCGCTATTGTGCAGATTGCAGAAGTATAATTTGATTGAAGATAGTGAAAATATGGTCAGACTATCGCCTTTGAATCTAAATTTTTCTTGAGGTTTTTCTCGTTTCCCGGAAATCTTCAAATATTCCTAGAGTGTCGACATCCGGTTACGTACATGCAATTAT